GTGGAAGGGCTGGACCGGATACGGTGTGACCTCCGGAACCACCGCTGAAACTGGAGACGGCGTCGACCACAGGACTGGAGATGGAGGAGACGTCGGACTAGAGGGGACGTCGACCTCTGGACACGAGGGAGCGTCGACCTCTGGACACGAAAGAGCGTCGACCTCTGGACTGGAAAGAGCGTCGACCTCTGAACACGAGGGAGCATCGACCTCTGGATCGGAAAGAGCGTCGACCTCTGGACTGGAAAGAGCGTTGACCTCTGGACACGAGGGAGCATCGACCTCCGGACTGGAAAGAGCGTCGACTTCTGGACTGGAAAGAGCGTCAATCTCTGGACTGGAGAGAGCATCGACCTCTGGGCACGAGGGAGCGTCGACCTTTGGACTGGAAAGAGCGTCGACCTCCGGACTGGAGAGAGCGTCGACTTCCGGACTGGAAAGAGCGTCGACCTCTGGACTGGAGAGAGCGTCGACCTCTGGACTGGAGAGAGCGTCGACCTCTGGACCGGAGAGAGCGTCGACCTCTGGACCGGTGAGAGCGTCGAGCTCTGGACCGGTGAAAGCGTCGAGCTCTGGACCGGTGAAAGCGTCGACCTCTGGAGTGGATGAGGCGTCGACCTCTGGAGTGGATGAGGCATCGACCTCTGGAGTGGATGAGGCGTCGACTTCAGAACACGAGGAGGCGTCGACTTCAGAACACGAGGAGGCGTCGACTTCAGAACACGAGGAGGCGTCGATTTCAGAACACGAGGAGGCGTCGACCACAGGACTGGAGGAGGCATCGACCACAGGACTGGAGGAGGCGTCGACCACAGGACTGGAGGAGGCATCGACCACAGGACTGGAGGAGGCGTTGACCACACGACTGGAGGAGGCGTCAACCACATGACTGGAAGAGGTGTCGACCACACGACTGGAAGAGGCGTCGACCACACGACTGGAAGAGGCGTCGACTACCATCGACTTCTGGTCCGGGGCGTCGATTCCTGGTCCGGAGGCGTCGGCTTCTGGACCGTCAACTTCTGGACCGTCGGCTTCTGGACCGTCGACTTCTGGACCGTCGACTTCTGGTCCGGGGGCGTCGACTTCTGGTCCGGGGCCGTCGACTTCTGGACCGTCGACTCCTGGACCATCGACTCCTGGTCCGGGGGCGTCGAGTCCTGGTCCGGAGGCGTCGAGTCCTGGTCCGGAGGCATCGACTTCTGGACCCTAGACTTCTGGTCTGGGGGCGTCGACTTCTGGTCCGGGAGTGTCGACTTCTGGACCGTCGGCCTCTGGACCACCGGCTTCTGGACTGGAGGAGGAGTTGCTTCAGATGGGACCGCTTGGACAGGCTGGAGCAGATGCGGTGCGACCTCCGGGACCACCGCTGGAACTGGATGCGATTGCACTGGTGGTGCTGGAAACTGGGAGAGGAGGGAGGATAGAGTGTCCAGTTGGAGCTCCTGGAGACTGAGGCTCTGATGGAGTTGGGCCAGCTCAGCTCGGAGACCTGCGAGCTCTGCTGGGTGGACTGCAGGCTTGCTCCTCTGGCTCTGGGACGAGGGAGCTGCTGGCTGGACTGAAACCCTCTCCTGGTGATTCGGGGAAGACAGGTTGTCAAGGTGGGACTCCTTGACGCTGACGAGCTGACGGATCCGGCCAAGTTCCGCCTGCAGATCTGTGAGCTCTGTCAGCTGGGCTGTGGGCGTGGTTCCTCTGCCTGCAGATGACGGAGGCACGGATTGGACCAGAGACGGGACTGTTGGTCTGACTGGGGGCGGGCCCAAACAGGTGCGTCGAGCCGGGGCAGCGGTGCGCTCGCGGCTCCGTCCTGGGACACAGGATTGCGGGGGAGCCCAGCAACCTTCCCCATGCTGTGGGCCAGCTCCGGGGGAGCACACAGCCAGTCTGGTGCCCATGAAGCTGGAGCGATCCGGAAGCGTCTCCCGGTCCAACCTCTCATCTGGCTCCGGAAGGGTCGAGAGGAACGCCGCGGCTGAAGCCCGGTGACGACGTCAGAGGCGAGGCGACGCCGGGGAGGAAAAGAAGCCGGCCGGTGGTCCCAGGAAAGAAATTGAAGCAGGCACTCCCAGGGACGAATCTCCCCGCTGGATCCTTTGCTGGGTTGGATCATTCTGTCAGATGCGTGCCGGTGAGTGAGACGGAGGTGAGGATACGCACGCGGGTGAAGAAGGAGGCAGGCAGGCAGACAGGAACTTTAAACAGGGATTTTAATTAGGAACACGCTGACATAGAAACAATGATCCAACACGAGACACAACACAGAAGGGGTTTAAATACAGGAGGGCTGGGAGCTTGGGTGATTGGTAAACAAGAGGCAGGTGGGAGCAATTAACAGAGACACAAGACTAACCAAAAGGGGAGACAGGCCAAGGTGTGACACAGATGCATTATTTCCAGATGTTTCTCAAGGGCACTCAGTTCACGTGCGTTTGTGTCTGTGCATGTGTGTGACAGCAAGCATTTGCCATGTGGTGATGACTAGAAGAAGCTAACTTATGAAGCAGTTCCCTTTAAAAAGCACACAGTCTAAAGTTGTGTATTGACAAGCATAAGTCTAGAAGGTTTATACTTTCAGAGCCAAATGTGCAGCAGCAGTGTTCTTGGGGTCAGTGTGTATTTGAGTGTATGTCTGAGGGACTTATTCAAACTGTTAGCACCCTGTTCTTTTTCGAGCAAAAACATTTCATTCTGTGCTGCGATTGCCCTGATTACGCCAACCACACAGGCTGATAAGAACCTTAGGAGCTTCCTGGGACACTTGCCAGGCTTCTGCAGAAATGCAAATCAGAGCTGCTTGAGAATTGTTCCACAGATCGGTGGGAGCGTTATGTTTAAAATTTATCTGAGACAGTTGATAAAAACAATGTATCAGCAATTTTAGAAATATCTCATTTCTATATGTCCTCAGGCCTGAGGAAATGCAGGGTTTTAAACCTGATGCTGACTAACACTTAGCCTGGACACAGTCTTGTTTTCATTTATCAGATGACATTCAGCTGTACTGATTCTGAGTTCTAAAAGCTGAAAAGACTGAATGTCTGATCATTGCCCCTTGAGAGCATGGTTCCCCCCGATTAGTTAACGACTTGGTCATTTAACTCATCAAACTTAAGAAATTTGGGTGTTATTGACTAATCAGTGTCTCTTGAAGGCCACTCAAAAACGTTGGTGCGAAACAGTTTTTATCACAAGAAATATCTCCAAACTGCGAAGGTTGGTGTGAAGACAAGAACTTGAAATGGTTATCCATGCCTTTACTGTATCTCCTCCCGACTAGATTACTGTAACACACTCTTCACATGTTTTAACAAAAAGTCCTTGACCGTCTTCAGTTGGCCCAGAACTCTGCAGCGAAGCTCCTATTTGGAGCAAACAGAAGAGCACACATCACTCCTTTTCTGATGTCACTGCATTGGTTACCCGTTAACTTTAGAGTTCATTTTAGAATCCTGACTGTAACTTTCAATGCTCTACATGGTCAAGCTCCTCCCTATATTACAGAACTGTTAAAGCCTTATGGGCTCGACACACGGGAGGCGACATCGCCTCTCCTCCATTCATTTTCAATGAGACATGCGCGACAAAGCGATAATCGCGGGTCTCCCTCCGACCAAGCGAAACGCGAAAAACGTGCATGTGAAATTTTGCGCTCGTACACGTGTCGTGCACAGGCGACCCAGCGACGCAATCCCAGAAAGTTGAAACATTTTCAACTTTTCTTCGCTGTCGCTCGGACGAGGACCAATCAACGGAGGTTTCATTCACTGGCCAATGAGCGGACAGGATGCTCCGTACATCTCCGAGCAAACAAGGAGGAGAAGTTGATTATTATTATGTTTTAAATAGTAAAATCACAAGTAAGATTTCACATAACTCTAACAGCACCTTGTGAAACATCATATCTACCACTTTATTAACTCTGAACTGCTTTAATAACCTTAATTCCCTCCAACCTGACACAGCCAAACAAAACAACGGAAGTTTCGATTTCGCCATGGAACAGAACGCGTAGACGGCTTTGCCGCTGGCCGGTACCGCGGACGCCTCCCGTGTGTCAGGTAATAAAAGCGACAGCAACAAATTTCGCTGATCGCGGTCGTTTGTCGCCTCCCGTGTGTCGAGCCCATTATGCTCCAACCCGAGCCCTCAGGTACACACACCAGACCCTTTTAGAAGTTCCAAAGACCAGGTATAAAAGTCGAGGTGATCGCTCCTTCCAGACTGCAGATCTTCCTTTATCCTTGCGTAAGACTGACAGTCTGGACACCTTTAAGAACCGCTGAAGACCCTTTTATTTTATTTTTATTTTTTGTTTTGTTTTTAATTATCTTCCATTTGTTTGTGATGCTTTGTAGCTTGATGAATTTATGATTTTATGACTTTATGGTTTGTTCTGTTGATCTTTGCGATGCATTTGTGATTTTTCTTTCTGTGATAAATTCTATAAATAAACTTTACTCACTTATTTTACTATTATGTATATATTAGGCTTAATTTTTTTGTTTTATTTCTCTTTTGCCCTTTCATCCCCACCTGAAGAGCCTTTTAAGACAATTAAATTAATGATTAATAATTTCATGGCTTGTATAATTGCTACCACACTAGACATATCCAAGAAGTAGTTCACAGTCTTTAACAACTTTTATGTCTGTTTCGAAACAGCCTGATATTCAGCATGACCCATTCTCATCATAGATGTTGCTGATGCTGTCATGTCAGGATGAACCAGAACCTCTGAGGGACTCAACACCTTGTACCTAGTTCTGGCAAAAGAGAGTATGGTACTAGCAATGTGTACCAAATCAAGTTCCCTAACATAAACTGAACTGAAGTGATTTACTTTTGGCGAACAGAGCTGTATTAAGACTGAAAAAGATGACTGTAAACATTTTTTTTAACTTTGTGCTAGTGTTACATGTCACTGGGTTCTAAGACTTAAATGATAAATACTGAGTAAATAATTGAGAGCTTTCTCACGCTGTGTTTCTCCCCAGGAAACAATGAAAAATGCTGTTTTGAGATGTTAATTAATCAACCATTAAGTGAAACGAGAAGAGCACCACTGACCCTAAACATCAGCAAACTAGGACACCTCAGAGTTCATCTCTAACCTTGTGAAGCAGACATGGGGAAAGTCTACCATTTCAGTAAAAACGCTGTCCTTGGGACGCTCGTTCTGGCTGTCACTGCACTCGCTACAATTATAGCTCTATCTGTCGCCTATCACAAGGAGAGAGCCAATAACCAAAGTAAGCCTGGAAATGGAGCATCAGGTACCAGCAGCACATCTGCACCCCCCACAACCCCCTTCACACCAAAGGTGCCTTGGGACTATTATAGACTTCCAAAAGGCCTCGAACCCGAATCTTACAATGTGGTCCTGTGGCCCAGGCTGAAACCCAATTCAGATGGCCTTTACATTTTCACCGGAAATTCAACTGTGGTCTTCAGATGTTTAAAGGACACAGACCTAATCATTATCCATGCCAACAAGCTGAACTTCACCAATTTCAAAGGCATGCATGCTAAACTGAGTAGTCCTCATGAAGAAGCAGTACCTGCCCTGCAGAAGTCTTGGCTCACGGCGAGGACGGAGTATCTAGTTGTTCAACTGCAGAGCAAATTAAAAGCAGGAGCAATGTATGCTCTTCACACTGAATTTATGGGTGAGCTGGCAGATGGCCTGGAAGGATTCTACAGGAGTGAATACCTGGAGAACGGTCTAAAGAAGTAGGCATGAAAAGTTTCTGTTTGTTTAATTTATTACATCTAACCACGCGTGTGTCTGTTTGATAGTTATAGTGGATTTTCTTTGTTTACAGGATTGTTGCAACTTCTCAGATGCAACCAACATATGCCAGGCAAGCATTTCCATGCTTTGATGAACCGGCCATGAAAGCCATCTTCAACATCACCATCATCCATGACCCAGACACAGTGGCTCTGTCCAATGGCAAGGAAAAGAGTCAGTTTCACAAAACACACACACACACACCAACACATTCTCACTCCAGCGCGTCAAAAACAAACGCTTGGTCAGCCACCCTCCACGTCAGACCCCTGGGTAAGGTACAATGAGCTTGTTTGGAGCCCTGGCTGCGGACATCCCATCGCATCAGGGTAACGCTCCATTGGGATGCAACGGTAGCAGACATCCCATCACGTCAATTTTACGCTGCATTGGGATCTGCAGTCAGAAAAGGGAAAAAACCCTTTTCGCACATAAGTAACGAAAAAGGACACTTTTGGCTTCAGGGGTCTGATGTGGAGGGTGGATGATCAAGCGTTTGTTTTTGATGCGCTGGGAGTAAGAATGTGTTGCACACACACACACACACACGTCAGACTATATATACATCTATATGGAGAGAGAGAGAGAAAGAGAGAGAGAGAGAGAGAGAGAGAGAGAGAGAGAGAGAGAGAGAGAGAGAGAGAGAGAGAGAGAGAGAGAGAGAGAGAGAGAGTCTGATCTCAGTTTTAAGGCAGGACCAGGTTTTGGTGGATGAATGGATGGATGACTATCCATCATTGAATATTGAATAAAGGTTGTTGGCAACAATTATAGAAAGACCTGCATCAAGATGAATAAAAATGTGAGTAGTAGAGTGCCTTATGTAGTAAATTCTCTGTCTTATGGTCAGGTCATAGATGACTGATAGCCTGAACGCCTGCTAACAGAGTTTCAATGTCCGATTGTCTCTCGTTTTGTACAGATTCTTCGCTCTCTGTCGTCAGTGGTGTTCCTGTCAAAGTTACTACCTTTGAGCCCACAGAGAAAATGTCCACATATCTGTTGGCCTTTATCGTCAGTGATTTCATTTCCATTGAGTCAAGCACAAGTAACATTTCGGTGAGAAAGTTTCTCTTTGCATTTTAATTGCTATCGTATCATCAGTAATGCTCCCTTGTTGTAGTATTTACAGATTTATTACCGATATTACACTGCCTGGCAAAACAAAGTTGCCACCTGGATTTAACTGAGCAAAGAGGTATGAGCCTCCATTAGATAATAATAATAATAATCATCATCATCATCAAACTTATATAGTGCTTTATTAGGACACTCAAAGACGCTTGTGTGAACTCTTACATTCACACACTGCCAGTGTAAGCTACTACGTAGCCACAGCCGCCCTGGGGCGGTCTGACAGAGGTGAGTCTGCCATTTGGCGCTTCGGCCCCTCTGACCACCACTAACACAGGCAAGTTGGGTGAAATGTCTTGCCCAAGGACACAACAGCAGAATACCCCTGGCTGGAGCTAGAATCGAACCCATGACCCTCCGATCATGAGGCAACCCGCTCTACCTCCTGAGCTACTGCTGCCCCAAATCATCTGCATGGGTGATTATGTTTCAGCTGGCAACAAGTTATTTAACCCCAACTGGTGCAATGAGTCGCTTCTCATTTCTTAAACAACCATGTAGAAAGACACATCTGGTGGTCATGGAAAATATGTTAGTCTGTTTGAGAAGGGTCAGATCATCGGCATTAAGCAGAGAAAACATGTAAGGAGATTGTAGAAACGAATAAACTGGGTTAAGAACTGTCCAACACATTATTAAAAACTGGTCTGATGAGTCCAAATGGACCCTGTTCCAGAGTGATGGAGCATCAGGGAAAGAAGAGAGGCAGATGAAGTGAAGCACCCATCATGCCTAGTGCCTACTGTACAAGCCTGTGGGGGCAGTGTTATGATTTAGGCTTGCTGCAGTTGGTCAGATCTAGTTTCAGCAACAGGATGTGCTCCAAGCATGAGGTCAACTGACTACCTGAATATCCTGAAAGACCATGTTATTCCATCGATTGAGATAGGGTGGGAAGCTCCGTCATCTGGGAGGTCAGAGTAGAACTGCTGCTCCTCCACATCGAGAGGAACCAGTTCAGGTGGCTTGGGCATCTGGTTGGGATGCCTCCCAGGTTAGGTGTTCCTGGCATGTCCAACCAGGAGGAGAACCAGAGGACGACACAGGACATGCCGAAGGGATTATGTTTTTTGTCTTGCCTGGGAACACTTGCCCTGGAAGAGCTGGCCCAAGTGGGCCTCTATGCTGCTGCACCCACTACACAACCTCGAATAATCAGAGAAAAATGTTTAGATGGAGATTTGTTACCCTAGAAATCACATGCTTTTAATTTCTTGCAGATCCGAATCTGGGCTCGAAGAACAGCCATAGACAATCGGCAGGGCGACTATGCTTTAAATGTTACAAAGCCAATCCTTCAGTTTTATGAGAAATACTACAGTTCAAATTATCCACTCTCAAAATCAGGTAGGTCAACACAGAAGAAAACATTTGTGTCGGATATTTAACCTGGCTGTTGTTGGCTTCATTACTGGTTTTGTACAGATGGCTTATTAACTTCACTTGGAGTATGATGTTACATCTCCTTTTCTTTCCTTTTGTCTCTGTTGGGTGGGGATTTTACTTGTGATTGTTGCAGACCTTTAAAAATCCAGAAAAGGATGTTGATCAAAGAAAGTGTTTAGCTCCGAGAAAATATACATGACTGAAGTCATGCAGAGATTGTGAGGATCGTAACGGGCGTGACTCATACAGGACATGGTATATATATATATATATATATATATATATATATATATATATATATATATATATATATATATATATATATATATATATATATATACTCATATCATACTTATCATCAAAGTTTATTGCACACCATAATAGAAGAGTAAAATAGTGAGATCAGTCAACATGCAAGCAGCAGCAGCAGTCCTGCCAACCTTGTCAAAAAGAGGGTGTTACGCTATAGGTTAGGCCGGATAGCTTTTCTCTGCTTTTCTACAATGATTGGCTTAAACTTCTTCACCATGCCGCTGAGTCGTGTTGCCAGACATGAGTACCACATGTGCATATTTGCCACAGAACTCAACTCACGCTTCCGCAGCTTCTTGCGTAGTTTAAATGGGTGAGTCGTACCAGTGTAAATAGATGCCAGATTGCGTACTGGCTACGCAAAATGCGTACAGGGTTCAGGTCTGCAGCAGTCTTTCAAGAGATTAGAAAAGAAACAGATCAAACTTTGTTTTGTTTTGTAGTGGTCAAAATGGAGAAATGATAAATGGTAAATGGCTGTATTTGTATAGCATCTTCTTTAGGGTTCTACAACCCCCCGAGACACTTCACAACACAATCAGTCATCCACCCATTCACACCCAAGCCCATTTGAGAAGACACAACAGCTGCCAGCAAATCTGTGTAATACTGCCGCCATGGTGTGCCTTATGAACGTTCTGTGGCAGCATGGCGTTGCGTGGCGGCATTCGTTTCGCCACGCATGGTAGTAATATTACCGCATCGCCGGACTTGTGAATGCGCAACAGAAGGAAGTGTCCCGATCACATGGGGAGTTCCTGCCGAGCTCTGGCCAGCAACTATATTAAAAATGAAAGTAAACATGGGCTTTCCACAAGTTTTGTTTCTGTAAAAAGAATCAGCTGAGATAATAAACTAGGGCAACGTGGTGCTCCAGGAGCTTCTCTCCATTAGAGCTGGAGGTCAGATCACCAGAGACTGATCAGGAACTGTGGGGGACAGACACTTTTAGGAGCAGCTTGTTAAAAAAACGTAATGAGCATGGCTTCAATCGCAATAAAAAGCAAGTTATCTCCAAATGGCATGTGCTTGTATAGCACCTTCTTAGGGTTCTACAACCTCCCAAGGCACTTCACAACACAATCAGTCATTCACCCATTCACACGCTGGTGGGGAAGAGCTACAATGTAGCCACAGCTGCCCTGGGATGCACTGACAGAGGTGAGGCCTGCTGAACAATGGCACCACCGGCCCCTCCGACCACCACCAGCAGGCAAGGTGGGTTAACTGTCCTACCCAACGACACTAAAGCAGAATTCTCTAGTCAGAGTTGGGATCGAACCTGTAACCTTCCAATTACTGGACAACCCACTCTACCTCCTGAGCTACTGCTGTCCCAAGATAGACCAAAGTCCGTGTAATATTTCTACATGTGATCAGGCACGTGCGGGGGTGGGGGTGGGGGGGGGGGGGGGGGGGGGGCAGAGCGGAGAGTGCTTGAGCACCTGCCCCTTTTCTCCAAAGTGCCCAAAGTGCCCTTTTTCTGGTCGTTTGTCAGATTTTACCGTACAAAACTGTTTTACTGTGATACATATTGAGCACTAGGACCATGCGGAGGCAACGCCTCAAGCTGAAGCCTTTTCCCTTGGACCCGCCTACAAGCTCACTGATTGGCTCTGCCGCATCATACTAACGTGTGATTGGTTGTCCCTGTTGTCACTCTACTTTGTAGCCATGGAGACGACAGACCGTTGTTTTGCCTGCGGGCAGGAGTCTGCGTTCATCTACCTGTAAGTTTTTTTTTCTGCCTGCTTCATGTCAGCTGGATGGATTTTAATATCAGAGCTTTTGTTTACGTGCGTTTGAGTCTGTGGTTAGTGTGTGTGGAGCAGAGTGAGGTAGCTGCATGTCTGGGACAGAAAATGAGACATGAGAGAGACTGCCAGTACTGAATCAAGTCTGTTGGAGTAGAGAAACCACAAAACCTGCTGGGTACCAGCCCTCCAGGACCAGGATTGGACACCCCTGGGCCAGGGGACCCTCCTGTAACCCCAACAAAAGCTGGTCCCGTAAGGCTACATCTGAGGGAGAGTCGTCGGGGTCATGTCGCCGCAACCTACAATGTAGCTCACGCAACCTCAAAATAAAAGAAGATACAGTCTCATTTGGCTTCTGGGTGCAACCAAAAAACTGAGACCTTAACACCAAGGTTGGAGTGGGGTCTCCATGCAAGGAATCTAAATAGTTAAGGATTTTACGGACTTGATCTTTTTCCTTCTCTTCCAAAACACTGACCTGACGTTTGGCTTCCCCAGCCATCACCCCCGATGCAATATCAACCTTCCTGGGTTCTGCCAACTCCTGTGTCCCTAGCAACCCGGTTATTGGTTCCTTCCAGTCACAGTATTTTAAGTCCTCCCCATGTCCTTTAAATTTTGGAAGCCAAGGGGCCCTTGGGTAAACAGGCATCATCATGGCTAATTTATTTGGCTCCAACAGCCGCTTTCAAAGCCTGGATCCTGCCAACAACGCCAAATGTGGCACCTTCCTACCGGGTAGGTGGGCTATACTATATATCTACAGGATACCAAATCCCACCCAAGGATTACACCAGGGAAAGTTGACAGCGACTGCCAGAGATCAAAGCCGGGCCAGTCACTAGAACGGTTGCTGGAACTGGGCCCGGTGAGAGTCTGCAGCCTTATCTGGACGCTGCGGGGCAGATTCCTCCTCCTTCAGGACGCTTGTCTGCCACGCCGTCGTTTTCCTCTTCCCTCAAGAGATCGCCTCCTCCATCAAGACGCGTGTCTGCCGCACCGCCGTTTCCCTCAATCGCCCGCTTCCTCCTGCAGATCAGTCACTGACTTAGCTGTGCCACGCCGTCGTCCTCCTCCGTCGCGGGTCTACCTGACAGTGAATTTTAACGGCAGTCACTGCTCGATCGCACACCACGGGTCACACCTTGTCACAGGCCGCTACTCACACGCCAGGGCAGAGGAATACCCTGCCAACATCCCCATGAAGCCTCGTCACAGACAATCGGTGTCCTTTCACCCGGCGACTCTCTGCTGTCTGCCGCCGTCTCCACCGAAGACACTCCTAATCTGCCACCGGTGCAGATAATTGCCCCGGTCTGGATGTCATCTGTCCAAGCTTGTCAAAATAAAATCACACAACCTCCCAGTTTCCTGGGTTCTCCAAAATAAAAGCATCCCATGCACTAAAACTAAGTAAAAAGAATACACACTAAAAATGCACCACACTGGAAGGAAAAACACAATAAACACCGACTTTGCCCGTATGACACAAGCACCATCTTACATTGGTGATCTTCTTAGTCCCTACACCCCCAGCAGGTCCCTGAGGTCCAGTGATCAAAGCCTACTGGTTGTGCAGCACCAGGCTAAAGACCAAAGGTGACAGATCATTTGCTGCTGTGGCCCCCAGACTCTGGAACTCTCTCCCCCTGAGCCTGAGATCAGTGGACTCAGTGGTCTCCTTCAAAAAGCAGCTGAAGACTCACTTGTTCAAGCTGGCTTTTGTATGACCTTCTTCACCACTCTCTCTTTATTCTGCTCTCCCCGCCTATTCCACCTTCCTCAGGATCCACTGATTTCCCTCTTTCCTATCCACTCTCTCTCTTTCTTAACATTTTTTAATCACAATTGTCTATTTTTGCTCATTTTAAATATATGTTTAAACATTTTCTAAATGCTTTTTTAATATTTTTACATTTTTTTGTTTTTGTGAAGTGCCTCGTGATTTTTATCTTGAGAAGCACTATAGAAATGATATTTTCTTCTTCTTCTTCTTCTTGAGAGGGGCAACCATGTCCAGGACCTGATTACAAAGTAAATCAAAGTGTTGTGAATAGTGATCAATGTTAGATGGATCTGGGTTAAAGGTCTCTAACCTTACAGACATACAGTCCACGAACATTGCAACAGTTTCTGCATCCAGGGCTCTGAACCTATAGCTGGAGCTTCACACACAGGGACAGGACATGGCAAAGTAACATCAGAGTATTGGAGAGTGGTCAAAGAACACGGGAGGCAAAGTCACACGGTTCATGACAGGGAGACCAAAAGAGAGAACTATGTCCAGGATGTGACCCCTGGCATGAGCTGGGGACGATACCCATTGAGTTAAATTGAATGAATCTAGCAAATTCAACAAACCTTTTGCAAGCACATTGTCAGAACAGCAGATATGGATGTTAAAATCACCAAAAAATAGGACATAGTCCTACATGATGGGGGGGGGGGGGGGGTTAATGCACGGTTCAAAGGAAGAAAATTACATGGTGGGTGTAAGCTGTTAACTAGGGAAGCTGGATTTTAAAACAACAACCAGCCCACCACCTCTGCCCCGCGATCTAGGGATGTTAAAACAGGAGCAGCCAGGTGATACCAGCTCCAGCAGGGCACTTGAGTCACCAAACGGGATCCAGGACTCACAGATGCACAGAAAACACAAGTAATGTTGAATAAAAAAATCCCAAGGAATAAAAGTTTGTTCCACACAGACCTGGCATTGACCAGACCAAACTGGGCCGGGATCGCGCACGGGCACCGTCTCCTCCAACTCTGAGCCCGTAACCGAGCACAGATTCTCCCAGCAAACCCCACTCTGGCGAGGTCCTCGAGTCGATTGGCTGTGGCACGGTGCCATCTCACCCTCAAAGCTGGCCAGGCAGGGCGCAGAGTAAACCATTAGATGCCGGAACCACCGGGTCACAAGCTGGGCCGAAAAGGACCAGCCGCTTCTTCAGGGATCCAGGAATAGAGCCATTCACTGGAGCCCTAGGCCCGCGGGTCGGCCTGGCCCCACGGCCCGAGGGCTGGGCTTCGGGCCAACGACTGTGTAATTACTTCGGACACGGGCCGGGCGCCTTTATTTTTAATCGAATTCATAAAAAAAATACTGAAACACTTGAACGCAGCAGCACCTGCCTGCTTCTCACGCACCCGTTAGCTCAGTTAAGGTGTGTGTGGTTTATAAATGCGCCTATATAAACAAATTCTCAAACTGCTGATTGAAACATGTGCCCCTATTCTAATATGCCATTTTATGTCCACTTTGATATGTCAGAAACCATTCGTTTATTCTCATGAAAACTGCAGCATTCTATTTTTCTGTGAACAAATTCGCTGTGCAGTTAAAAAAAATGCAGCATTCACTGCTGTTTTTTTTCTAACTGGAAAGCGCCGTTTCAGAGCGGCAGGTTAAATTTACAAACGCTGTATTAATTGGGGGCGTTTATTTAATCTGCTGCTCTGCAGTTAGAAAATTGGAATGCTGCTTTTTTTTCTAATTGCACAAGAGCGCATTTTCAGAGCAGATTAAATTTACATACGCATCCAATTAATATAGTGTTCGTAAATTTCATCTGCCGCTCGAAAAGTACGCTCTGTTAGGAAAAAAAGCTGCAATGAATGCTGTTTTTTCTTTCTTTTCTTTTTACTGTAGAACGCTTCCCACAGATATTTAGAATGCTGAGCATTCTATCACGCTAAAACATTATGAAAGGTTAAAAAAAAAAAGTCAGGCTCGGGTCGGGCCAGAGAATCCTGAAAACCTTCTCGGACCGGGCGGGCTGGGGCTCCACCCCCTCGGGCCGGGCCGGGCACGGACTCAGATTTTAGGCCTGTGCAGGGCTCTATCCAGGAAGTCCAGCCCGACGTCTCACATCTCCCTCCAGGCCTTTAAGGTCTGCTGACCACCTATTGCTATGCATTCCCAAAATGAGCTACAAAGCTCGGGGGTACATGCTTTCACTTTTGCTGCACCCAAACTGTGGAACGCACTCCCTCTGTCCACGCAACAGGCTTCTTCACTGGCACAGTTCAAATCTAACTGAAAGACCCATTTCTTTCATTAAGCCTTTGGCTGGTGAGCGTTCTTTTTATGCTGCGTCTTCGTTTTTTTTTTTTTTTTCAGAGATTCCGTTTTGATCTTATCTGTTTTTATTCTTGTGACTGCTAAACATTCTGTATGAATGAAGGTGAATTTTAATCTTGTGTTTTTACTATGTCTGATGTTTTTACTCTGTAATGGATTAGAATTACATTTAAGGACCATAAGACATTAAAGATTCATATCTAGTATGAATCCCATCTAATGGACACTGGGTTATTTTAATCAGAAGATTGGATCTTTTTATCACAGGGACTTTAAATAACACTTTGCATTAACCGAGAGACAAGAGAAAAGAGAGAGACTTTCAAACGTTTAAGGAAATGTATTTACTAAATAATTTTAAACAGTTTAACAAGACTAACTCTAATGATGAATGTTCTGTTGGAATGAAGTGTGAGGTGAATGGTGTGTGTGTGAATGATGTCAAGTTCAGAACCTCCATATCCGGAGAAGCAGAGTTTGAGTGGGAGATGATGTTTTGCTCCTAACTGATCAAGTTTGAGCCCGTGGTCATAAACACACGAGACGCCAGTTTTGTCACATCCACATACCCTTCAGTAAGACCTCCACGATGGATCCAGAATGCCCAGGTCCTCGGACCTTCCTTCCGGTACTGGAGCCAATAGTACAGCGTCATAGCACGACAGACTAGTCTTTGGATAGTCTCCAGGTAAAAAGTGACAGGTGTTTCACAGCGTCAAAATGGGGACCTTCCTTGGGTCAGCGAGTTCAGCTTTTATTCTGAAGAAACCGTTGTTGGTTGATAACAACGAAAGATTTTTCCCAGCTTGATAGTTCTTAGCTTAAAAAGAAAAGTACAGATGGCCTCTCCATACTTCACTTAACATGCGGTGAACTCCAAGGGATCTTGAATACTGTGAATACTGAACTTAAAATGGCGTTGGAACTGTTTTATTAATCTGGATGTTTTTGATTCTGGACGAATTTGTCACGATGTGAGCAAGGAGGTGGTTAGGACCCAAAATGCAGAAACCCAGGATGACACGAGGCAGGGGTGGAAGATGAAATAAAAATTCTTTATTTGGGGATAATCCAAAGGCAGAGAGCCAAAAACTAAAAATCCAAACACTGAAATGGAGATCCAAAAACACTAGAGACTCAAGAAGTACTAATAACACTAGAGATCCAAAAACGAGACGAGACTGACAGAAAACAATGGACCGACAAACACATTGAGACACAGACAGGGTTAAATATACTGGGAGGATGAGAGGGAGATGAATCGCAGGTGTGTGGGGAGAGAGAGACAGGTGAACACAACTATTAATCAGAGAGGAAACTAACTTGACCTAAGAATAACATCTAAGACAAAAAGAGCAGGAAACATAACCACTTAATCAATGGGGGTGGGGGGGGGGGGGATAATAACCTTGAGAAATGGCTTCTCCATCATGTTACAACTCTGTGCAGCATTTTGGTCAGCTGGCATGCTGTTTTTAAATGTGCTAAACAATTAAATTTGGTATGGTGGGTTAAAAAGCTCAAATTCGACGAGAACACAACCGGAGAAATAAGAGTATTTTCTGTTATCTTACTGAAACCTAAACGTGAGATAAGGAAAATTTTTCTCTGCATGTGCAAACTTTACAATCTAGAATTTTATCTTAAAGTTTCATCTTGTTCCAACAACACTGGAACCATAATGTGTGCAGCATTCCTGGTTATTATAAGCTGACACCATATTATATAAAATTCAGATACAGTCAACTTCTTAACATCTGGAAAATGTTTGTGTGGATGTGTCAGTTTGAGTGTTAAATGGTTTGCTTGTATTATATTTTTGTTCCATGTAGATCAGATTGCCCTGCCTGACTTTGACGCTGGAGCGATGGAAAACTGGGGACTGGTGACATACAGGGAAACGGCCTTGCTGTATGACCCCATGCTTTCCTCCACTGAGAACAAAGAGATGGTCACAATTGTCATCGCTCATGAACTCGCTCACATGGTTTGTCACTGGTTTCCTCCTAAAGGCTTTCATGACTTTATGTTTTGGTTTTATTTAAACCTGTTCCTTCATAAGTTTGGTCGTGTTGAAGTAGAAGTATAAAGGAGACAGAAAGACTGAAATTTGTTGTTGTTTTCAATATAAAGAAATTCAGAAAGCAAATAATTTCTCCAGGAAATTAAACATTACAGCAGCAAAAATGTCAGGGCTCACATAGAGTGTTTATTTACAAGTCAGGATGTATCAGCACACCCATGTTGTCGGAACTGGGACACGGTTTCAGAGGAAGTACGTACATGTTGGTCAGATTAGGCTCACACAAGTAATCTGCTGTACTTAGTGCAGATGATCTCAGAGTATTTGCTGCCACAGGCCTGAGATAATCATTGTCTTTGGGTATTTGTTGTTCTTGCAGTGGTTTGGAAACTTGGTGACTTTGCACTGGTGGAATGACTTGTGGCTGAACGAGGGCTTTGCTTCGTATGTGGAGTACCTCGGAGCTGACTACGCTGAGCCCACCTGGAACATTGTATGATCAACAATAGTGACCTAATTTTATAAAGTTCTCACACATATTACCTGCTCAGGTAAGCCTTTCCTGACTCTACTTTCTATTTGGAGGCAGAAAGACAACACCATTTTGAATGATGTGCAGAAGGTGTTAGCTATTGATGCCCTGGCCTCATCTCACCCTCTGTCCCGGAAAGAGGAGGAGGTCAGCAAGCCCGCTGAAATCAGTGAGATGTTCAACAGCATCTCCTACAACAAGGTGAATTTCCTATGGCTGCTCGTGCTTCTTGCTGGATTCTATGTGCATTACAGAAATGTAGTCTTTCCATATTTCTATAACTAAAACGCAGAAGGTCAATGGTGGATTCTGCCTGCATTTACATGTCTTTGTGAGAGGCTGTTGGTAAACGACTTCATGAACAGTTTCATAAGAGTTTTTTAAAACTCACAGAAGTTCATTGCTGACCAGATTTTTACAATTGATTTGTTTCAGGAGTCAACCTAATTTATGATTGATTCCAAAGCTATAAAAATGGCTTTGTCAATATTATAAAGAGTTAAACTGTAGTGTGTTAATTGCCGAGACTCATCTGCAACACCCCTTTGAGCCCTAAACGATTGTACGATACCTAAAATAATGATTTTACTAACCCTAACCAACATAAAACATTCAAATTGACGTGACGAGATGAAACACCAAGTTTAAAAATTAAAATTAAAATACACTAAAGAATTTGATGTAAGAAGCAGAAAATGACAAAGTTGAGCAGTTACAATGCAGAAGTTGCAGCATAACCCCAAAATTCCACTACCTCCGCTCCGCTGCGCTCCGCTCCGGCACAAACTCCGCAGCAAAATCGGTCCCGTTGTAGTCAATCAGAGCTGTTCCACTACTGCGGCCATGTGGCGCAGTGCGCCGCCCGCCAATCCACCATCCGGCAAAAATAGGATTGATTCTAGTTTTGCCGGACGCCGGAGCACCTCCGCAATCAATGAACAGAAATCACAACCGCCCAACAGGAAAGGGAGCAAGCACAACTTCCGTTATTGTACAATAAATCGATAAACAAAAAGCGTTTTTTGTTTCATATGCACAGGTTTAACAACTTTTAACAACTATCAATGGCGGCTGAACTTTAAATGCACAAAAACAAGCCATAAATACAGTTTCCACTATCAAAATAGTTGCCCTTTGTTGATTCAAACACTGCTGATCTCTCAACACAAATGATAGGCAGATTAAACAGTTAATTTTGAATCTTCTCCCACACAACGGGTGTTCGGATCTAACTTCCGCGTTTATTACTCGGACTGTATCGCAAGATCCTGAAAATCCCACACATGCCTGTTTGCGCACCTCAGGTCTCCGCACCAGAGCTGAGCCGTTGTAGAGCGGGTACCAGTAAAAATTGAGTTCGGAAGCGAGCGGCTGCGGAAGGCGGGGGCGGAGCGGAGGGGAGGTAGTGGAATTTTAGGGTAAGAAACATTAATTCAAAGACAGATGAATACATAAAAATTTTCAATAGAGATGGGGCACATGTGAGGTCATAAGAAAGCTGATTCCATCAGCCAGAGGAGGTATGAGCTTTGGGTATAACCATAGAATAACTTCAGACATTTTCCTCCTGCTCCTTCACATCATCACACAAACACACATAGGGCCTTGGGGTGTGGATAAGTCAGGGGTGCAGGCAGTGTTGGCAAAGTTCGTTTAAAATACGAACTAGTCCAAAGTTCAGTTCATACATTTTAAAACGAACTATTTTGTTTCTTAGTTCATAATTTAAAACATTTTGAACTAAGTTCACTGTTCCAAAAACGAACTACACACACACACACACACATATATATTTTTGCATATACACAGTGTTGGGCAAGTTACTTCAAAACTGTAATGCATTATTTATTACTTGTTACCCTCCTTTTAAAGTAATTCATTACATTACAATATTACTGAGTTTAAAATGTAAGGCATTACACTACTTTTGCATTACTTTAAGTTACTTTCACCAAAACAACTTCAATATGAATCTGGTAATGTGACGCTCAGTGAGCTCATGACATATATGTGGAAAGTGATGTGGTGTCTGAGCTAGGATCACTGTTAAAAACAGTCAGATATAATAACAGTGCTTTAAAATGATTGTTTATTAAATAAAAGCAACAACAATCTTTACTCTCAACACGCTGCCATCTTATATTAACTGATCAGGGAGTGAGGTGGTGGGGGCTCCAAGCCTATATTTGCCTTGGTCCCCAAATGCCTTGATACGGCCCTGGATGTGGGACTGACTTCTGGGGTGATCTGATTCTGTCACATGTATAAATATTAAATGCTTATATATTATTGCTTTTCACTGGTAAAAATGTGTATTGGGGATAAATCTACCTATTTTTTTCTTTTCAAGCACTTTGTTTTGTTTTCTTGATTTTATTTGAATAATTTCCTGCCCTTTCTCTCTCTAACCTTCCTGCATCCTGCATGTTTTCTCCGTCTTCCAGAAAAAACTGTTTCCTAGTCTTCCTACTTTCTAACGATCAGCCAAAGGGATCTTCACATGCGCGGCGCTCCAGCAGTAATGAGTTGAAATTAACAGGGCTACAGATTATGAACTCAGCTGAGGCAAAGCACGTCAGAAAAGCACAAAATACCAGAGAATATGCGCTGATATGAACGATCGCAAGTGAATTATTTTGTTTTATTGGAGCGATTTTGTGAATGTTGCAGCGGCCGTGCAGGACGCAACTGGAGTAGTTGAGCCGTTACCGCTGCGTCCTCTCTGCCCGCAAAGCTGAGTCCATAAATGACGTAATATATGCAGATACTGGATCTTTCTTCGGGTTTCCCGCAATTTGAATTTTTAAGGAACACATCTTGATTCTGGGTTTAAAAATGCATTGTAATTACCGCGTTACTGACAATTGTACAGAGTAAATATTACCATTTTCTTTCCCTGTAATGCCTTACATTACCACATTACAGCAAAAAGCAATGCATTACAGTAATTAATTACTTTTGTACCACATTACTCCCAACACTGCATATACATATATACATAGATATATACATACACGCAACATATGTATGAATCTTTATCTATATCTATCTATCTATCTCTCTCTCTCTCTATAGATATATATATATTTATATTTATATATATATATATATATATATATATATATATATATATATATATATATATATATATATATATATATATATATATATATATATATATATATGTGTGTGTGTGTGTGTATACCGTAAATCCTCTAATATTGGCCTGTATTCAATTAACAGCCAGGTATCACATTTTGGCCCATGTCGGAGTCGGTGGAGGTGAATAATGGCCGTTTTTTTTATTGTGGCCGGGTGGAATGTGGTAACAAGCACAGGGGGGGCGGTTGTGTCACCCGTCTCACTTTTGATTTGCCAGTGATAGACCGCGAGGGTAACTTTAACCATGGCAGGTGTGGAGACGAAGAGGAGGTGAAAATTTGATATCAAGTTCAAAGAGAACGTGCTGTTTATGCTGCAGAACACTCTGGGGAGCAGTAGGGGTTGTATGAACTAGTCACTAGTCGACTTCACCGCTCTATAGTGACTTTTTATGCCTGTCATCGACTAGTCGCTGTCACGTGATAATGACCGGCAAGATGCAGTCCTTGGAAAAGACAGCAGCCTGCTGTCAGCAGGTGACAAGCTCCTGCGCATTGGGAGGCAACGCGCTGTGCCAGAGCGTCGGTACTGACACCCGCCGTAAAACGGACATGTAACCAAATTGTGACCGTTACCCTCTTGCAATTTAACCTTCTCCTCACCCGCATGCAAAGCTCTGATTGTTGACGCGCTCCAGACATCTGCGTCCTGAGCACGGCCACAGTAACATTATCAAATCAGGTGTCGCCACCTCAAAAACTAATTTAACACGCGATCGTTCATTATGTGTGCCTGATGCTTTTCGCTGCTGTGGAGCGGGGCACATCACCTGTTTTGTCCTCCAGGGACGCACCTCACTGATGCGGCCGGCGACATATAAATAAATAAATAAATAAATATATATATATATATATATATATATATATATATATATATATATATATATATATATAACTTATGAAATAATTTTCCAATAGTTGGCACCTGTTCAGTCCACACTCATAACCAGCTGCAGTTTTTATCCTACAGTATAGTATCAATAACATGAGGAAAACATTTTTTATGGGAAATTATTAAACGATCTTAGGAAGCAGGCTGAGGTAGCAAACTCAAAGTGCAATATTAAAAGTACAAAACATTAGAAAATTTATAATCTTTCAGTTAAGTCCCTTTTTAATTTTTCTGAATGAACTTTGACTCCTGCACACAGCATAGACATAGAAGAGCAGACGCTGCACCAACTGCTACTGCCTATGTTTGGCTGCATTTTTGGGTTCTACTTTTTATAAACTCTATGGTTAAAAGGAGGTTTTAGCTAGGGTTTAGCACCGGAAAAGCTCTGTGGAGATCTAGAGCTAGAACGGTGAAAGAACGCGTTCGTAAACCCGCTCAAGGACACCAGGACGAACGCAGTCACTTTTACGTTTGTCAGGCAAAACACGAATGAGTTCAAATTCCATCTTTCTGTTCTTTTTAAAACACAGAAAAGGTTTAATTACCTGCAACGTTTCGTTTGCAGCTGCAAACATCATCAGGCTGACACAGATGGTGGCGTCACTTCCTTCGTTTATCCCATCGACATATAAATATTGGACAATGGGTTTCCATAGACTCCAATAAAAAGTTTTTGTGCTAAAATGGGAGGTGGCCACCACCGCCATTTTGACCGTGTCACAGGTTCCGTCAAGCCCAGACAATTCCAAAAAAGGGAAGAGAGGTGGAGCTGAGGGTGGGGCTGTAAGGCTGGGATCAACTGACGACACCCGGTCTAACTAGCTACAAGCTAACCTGAAGCTAACCCTGGCTAACTATGGTGGGCCGTGGAGGGGGCAAGGGGTGTGGAGTGAATTGTGTGGGATATGGAGGTGGGCAACAATGAAATGGATCAGGGGACACATGACACTAGAAGTGAACGAAATAGAGAGGGAGTCTGCCGAGCTATCTGAAGATTGTGAAGGAGTTTCAAAAAAGTTATCCTCAGTTATAACTTTAGCTTCTGGAGTGACCAATTCCTTAGTGATGGCCAGAAAGGAAACATTTAGGGAGTTTTCAGGCTGATGTGGATCTTTGGTGTGTTCATTGTTTTGAATCTTCTTTAACATTGTCCTTGGCATGCTGAGCAAGATGTTCTCCTTTGTGATAGCAGATGTGCTGTGAAAAGATTTCCTGATTTGACTCCTCATGTCTTTTGGTGTCCTTGCTGGGGCAGGAATAAGAAAGATGCAGAATATGCTAAAGGTTTATAATAAAATGTATGCTCAGAAAAAGTGTATGCGATACCAGAAGTTGAAATGATCACTAAAGTGAACTTTCTCTCTGTTGCATGCAGCATAGAGCCAGCTGTTCAGGGCAAACAACCTACTGAATCTTTCATTGCCTCTTCTGACCGGTGGTAACGAGCTACTGATAAACACCCTTGTTGCAGTTTTTTTCAATTTAAACCCTTAACAATTCAAACAACAGTCACCAAAACAAAAGACAAGTTGGTATTTACATTCAAAAGAGTCTGCCTGGGCTAAGTTGATATTTACATTTCAAAAGGGTCTGCATGGGCTGTGGCTTCTTGACATGTCTTCGCAACAACCATCCAATTAATGTGAGGTTAAAATACTGGATTTCCCCCTGAGCGTAATTGTTGGGATAGCAAAAGATAAAATAATAAAAACAAACATAATGTCATAACAAAAACTTGAGTAAGGTAACCCATTAGTGAGCTATAATTATGGTTGTCATGTTCCATGATATATTAGTCTAGCCTACACCAGTAATTTGCATCATTCCATAAAGGAACAGCCTTACCAAGTGGAAACAGAGACCGTCTTGAGTCAAAGTTGCATTTTTAAACTAAGTCCATGAACAAAAGGCATCTTTAGTCTGGTAAAACCAGAGCTGTGTCAGAATTGTACAAAGGCTGTTTCAGTTAAAAGGGAAAAGAATCTGTCATTTTAAAAGGGCAATAAGACACCAAGTTCTATATTATACCAAGCAGAAGCTATTCCTATTAACACAGAATCATAATTTACCATAATTTTCCCTTCTAATTCTGTAACTCAGGGTCAAATCCATCAAAAAAGAGAAATGTGCAAAGGACTGGGACAGTTCTGCATTAGGGGGACTACTGCATGATCTGTAAAAAAGGGTATTTGTTTATTTTAATAAAACAATAAAAAGGGCTGTAGACCAGAATATCACAGGGATCTCGTTTACTTTGAGAGGCAATTGCGTGAATCACCTCCATCGTATCTGAGAGTGCATCCATTCAGCCGGTGGAGCTGAACGAGTTAATTAATTTATATCTCAACACATAGAATAGAATGATGGATCCATCTAAGGAATAGTAAAGCGTATGAGGAACATTAAAATCAAATACCAAAAGCTTGGAAAAGCCTGGAAGTGCTTAAAGGCTCTCCATGACTAAAGGACAGCGTAACATTAAGAGTCTAATTTTTCCTTCTAATTTTTCCTTCTTCCATTCTCTTGCCTTCTAACCTCTCATATTCCTTCCTTATCTGATTTGTTGGTGGCCTGCAGCCTTACCAAACCATCCCCCACTGCAATAAATCAACACTTCCCTTTTGTCTCATACACACACCCCCAGAACCTCACCCCATTTCTTTACACACAGACAGACAGACAGACAGAGCCGGCTCAAAGCTTCAGAACTTTAGCTAAACAATCACACTCGGTTTTTTCTTTCATCAGAACCTCAGTCCAAAACTTCTCACACACCCTCAGAACAGAACCTGCAGGATGTCACACACTCAAAGTCCCAGATACACGCCCCTTTTCACACACGTACCAGAGCCACACAGACGGATTAACTTAAAACCCGTCACAGATTTAGACCACAAAGCGACATAGAACACGATAACCACAATGCAGAAATTAGCCAGTATCCAATCACAACTTGAACAATAAACAACACCACAGAATCACGGAGGTTAAACAAGACACCACACAACTGAAATGGGATGCGGCCTACAAACCACAGATATACAACTCACAAAGCGACAAAACGGGTCGAATTTAGAACAGGTTGAGTTCCTTTAGCCAATTAAAACGATGATTAACTTGGGTATTAGAAAGGGTGCAATTTAATTTAGGTACGCACTCACTCATCCGTTTCTGTCTTCCACACACTCAGAGCTTTTAGCCGGGGACACACACACACACGATGTAACACTCTCAAAGTCCCCGATTCACGCACACCTCCACGCACACTCCCTTACCAGAAACAGGCTCAAAACCTCCAAACTTTAGCCAAACAATCTCATGCTTGCCTTTTTCCTTTCGTCAGCCGAACTTTCTCACACACTCAGAGCTTGGGGCTCACACGCACACGGCCACAACGAGACGGCAGCCGACCCACCTCAATCAACACACACACACTTGAATGCAACAAGACAGCAGCCGAACCAACACACACAGTGAAACGGCAACCAATATTCTACCTGAACACACCGCCCCAGAACTTTAGTCAAACAATCTTGTTTCTTTTTTCCAGTACCTCTACATTCATACTTTATCATACATGCACAGAACAGAACGAACAGGACAGGATAGGACAACACCGAACCTGCAGGTTTTAGCACACACACAGAGACGCAATGAATCGGCAGCCGAAACAACGTTCCCAGCCGGGTTTTTTAGCACTTCAGCACAGATTTTAAACCCACAATGAATGCGACGTCCACACTGGGACAACCGACACCAATGTTCAGATTCCAGCAACAATTCACAGGACCACAAAGATCTGCTTAACCAGAAGTAACAAACCCGATCAGAAATGGGACGCAGCCCCGATACCAGATGCACAACAAATTACGAATAACACACAGCAAGGCCGAATTTAGACCAACTTAGGATTCTTTGGCCAAATGTAGCGGTGATTAATTTTAGTGTACCTTCGACGCACCATAAAATATTTAAACAATCCCAGCGGCAGTGTGATTTTTAGCAACAAGCCTCTCCACTCGACACCAGCACATGGACTCTGTGCTGCGTGTATATATTTGCTTATCTGCTTTAACGTGGCTACACATCACTTCTCATTGCAGTGCCGCAGGCAAGTTGCCATCATCTATCCAAGCCAGTATACATTTCACATATATGGTCAATAAACCCAAGACGAGTTGGATGCGCAGACCGAGACTCACTGAGAGAACATCTCAATGCACTTCCATGCAGACAGAGTTAAACAGAATCTGTCAAATCCTTCCTGTCGGCAGCTGCAAAAGGGGTATGTGCCTATGCCAAACTGTGGTTGACCGCTTTAACGCAGCGCTGGTTTAGTAACGGTTTTAGGCGCTCCTGCACATTCACCTGTAATTACCACCCACAGCACTGCGGGACGCCTGTGTGCGCGGACACAGACTAATTACAACCTCCTAAATCCAAGGCCAGGACTACAGTCCGGTTCACGTTCTGTGCAACCCTTACGGTTCACATGTGCAACCCCTAGCTGGACACGAAAACGTCTTTTCGTGCGTGAATGTCAGTCACCACAATCAGCTTAAAACCACACTGCCAGCAGTTAAAGAAAAAAGTGCAAAATAATAAGGTACTTACTCTCCCCTGTGTGGTAAATTTATCCTTAGTTCAGGAAGGCGAGAGCATAAATGGGAATCTGCCTGCGGGGCTAAAAAACCGGCCGGTGAAACAATTTTAGTTCCCCGGGCTTTGATGAGTTAAGTGGCACCTGCACGGCTCCCCGAAGACAGCTTCCCACCGACGGCTCTGCCATCCCGGCTTTCGGCACCAAATGATAGTTAATTTTTCATTTATCCCATATTACCTGAAAGGATGACACACGCAGAGGAATTAGATTGATTATTCGTAATTTCCATGACCCTTGAACCTGAAATAAACACATATACATAAAGAGGACTTCATTGTACGCTGCGTTGCCGGGCAGCAGGGTGAGAAAACGACGACACAACTCCTCAGAGTTCCATCATCGCCTCTCCCCCCTTCCTTAGCTCCACACAGCCTTTTATTCAAGCATCAGGATGGAGAAGGCGGGCCTTCTCGGGTTACAGAGGTACAGGCTCCTCATCTCCCAGGACACCACATTCCAGAGATAACAATGAGCTTACAGGAGCAAATGACTCAAAAAGGAACATGTAAAAAATACCCAACAGATGCACTCTTCTCTCACTGGACCTGCCTTTCCAATCTAAACACCCAAAGGGGATCTTTGTGTTTTCATATTCTCATTTTCTGGATTTGTGATTTTCAGGGAGCTGCAGTGCTCAGGATGCTGTCAGAGTTTCTCACTGAGCCTGTTTTTGCCCAAGGCCTGAGTGTGAGTACTACCAGGGTCATTTTGGCTAAAGTGGTTGTTTAGTCTGCGGGTTCAACAATTACATGTTTGGGTCAATGTTTTGCTGTCATTGTGATTCATTGCTTCCTGTTTGAATGTTTTGTTCTGCACCATTTCTTCTCTTCAGTCTTACCTCAACACATTTGCCTTCAAAAACACAGTGTACACAGACCTATGGGACCATCTCCAACAGGTCAGTTGAGTTAAAACCCCACAATCTTTTTACCTGGAACTGAGAATACGTGTCTTCTGTTTTTGCTTTGGGGTTAGGCAGTAGACAACACACCAGGGTTGGACATTCCACGTTCTGTCTCTGAGATCATGAACCGGTGGACACTTCAGATGGGCTTCCCAGTGGTCACAGTCGACACCCGAACAGGAACTGTCACCCAGAAGCACTTCCTGCTGGACCCAGACTCTGTAGTGGGCAGACCATCCCAGTTTAAGTATAAACAGTTACTTGATTCTGTGCATGTTCATGATGAGTGAAAAGATTCACTTCTGAGGAAAAAAAACTAACTGAATACATTACTGTCCTTTATTCTGTTTAGCTATACATGGTTTATTCCAATTAAATGGATGAAAAATGGTGTGGATCAGCAACAATACTGGCTCCTTGACAAGACAGGTACAGTTACTCAGACACCCACAGAACTGCTTCCTCAAAGAGAAAATGTGATCTGATTCATTCAAATTCAAGTTATTTTAAATAAATAAATCACACATCCCTCCAGATACCCATAGCTCGATGAGAGTGTCTGGAGAGGAATGGGTTTTGGCAAACACGAATGTATCTGGATTCTTTAGGGTGAACTATGATCTCGACAACTGGGGCCGTCTCCTTTCTCAGCTCAACACCAACCATCAGGTCAGTCATGTACATGGATGTGGATCTATCTACAGCAGATTACTATGAGTCTGGTTCTTGCGGGCCAATATCCTCTATGGAATAGTTGTTTCTCTGCTGGTATCTGCAAAAACAGAAATTAAAAAGGTTTATTGTTTAAATTATACCAAATTTTCATTGGGCAGAGGTACAACCAAGTCATTCTTCTGCAAGTCTGAAAATATGCAAGTCCTAAGTCAAGTCACGTTCAGAGAAATACAAGTTTTGGATCAAGTCGAAACCTTAAGTTTGAATATGAATCCTGAGCAAGTAACTTTATGAATCAGAACACATAATCAGACACTGCTCAGCCAATAAGAACACAGAGCTATCACAGCTAGACCAATCAGAATGCAGAAATGACACAGCTGAGCCAGTGGCCGTTTCTCAATACTCAAGCATGCTAGTACATTCTTGTGTACTACTAGACAAGTATGTTCTTGGCATGGACAACAGCAATTCCATTCTACCGAGTACGGGAGGATGAGGACGGCATTTGGAACAGAACCGTATCCCGTTGTGTCATGGCAACAAGCGCTGCTTGTTTCTACCTACGGTTAAACAACCTGATAGAAAAATAAGTTTGGTTTGTTACTTAAATAACAATGAAAACATATATTTGTATTATATTTGCTCCACTTTTGATCAAAACTTATAAAATACCAGCATTTTCTGCTGGTAAATGGATGAAAAAAATTTTTTTCATCAAAACAAAGCTACTCTGCTTCTATTTTGGTAGTCGGTTAGCTAATTAGCATTTTGAGAGATCGTGAAAAGTAAAACCCAAAAACACACAGCAAATTTTACAGGTTACACGCAAATATTTAAAAATTACAGATGACTATATTTCTTTATTAGTATTTTTTTTAATATAAAACTCTACAGTAATTTGATTTCTCCTCTGATGTTCGGAGTACAACAGTTGCGACTCAAGGCATTATGGGAAACTGTCCCAAGTCCGCAAAAGGATGCATTAATGCATCCTTGATACAATGGGGCGGAGCAAGAACACATCCGGGAACTTTGAACGAACTTGCCATGATGCCTACTTAGGATTGGAACAGTCCTTGGGCCATCGTTGATGACGTTTCACAAGGATGTGATTACATACAAGTACAGACAAGTGTGCATATTGAGAAATGGCCCATAAAAATACAGACCTAACATAGCTGGGCCAATAAGAATGCAGAACTGACACAGCCGGGCCAATCAGAATACAGAGCATAACACAGCTGGGCCAGTTATAATACAGATCTGAAACAGCAGAGCCAATCAGAACACAAAACTCAACGAAGCTGAGCCAATCAGACCACAGAACTAACACAGCTGAGCCAATCAAAATACAGAGCCAAAAACTGCTGGGCCAATCAAAATACAGAGCCCAAAAAGGCTTAGCCAATCAAAATACAGAGCTCAAAAAGGCTGAGACAATCAGAAAACGGAGCCCTAAAAAGCTGAGCCAATCAGAACACATAACTAACACAACTGTTTTCTGACTGGCTCATTGAACAAAAATATAAATGCAACACTTCTGTTTTTGCTCCCATTTTTCATGAGCTGAACACAAACATCTGAAACTTTTTCTACATGCACAAAACACCCATGACTCTCAAATATTGTTCTGAAATCTGTCTGCATGTGTTAGTGAGCACTGTCCTTTACCAAAATAGTCCATCCCACCTCACAGGTGTGGCATATCAAGGGGCTGTCTCTTCACGAACACCCGCATTACTGGAGACGCAGCACCAACCCGCCTGTCGGTCTCGCCTTCCACCCTTCCCTCACTCGTGAACAAGACCCCGAGATACTTTTTTTACTTATTACATAAAAACAAAAGTAAAGGAAAATTGGGATCAATTAATTAATCCAATGCAGAATTTGTCAATTGACAATTTTTTTTAGCTGATAGAAACATCATGAAGTCACCAAAGAAGTCCATTTGTCTTCATTCAATCCTACTTGTGATTATCGTGACCTGGATGATTGAGAACCTTCACCAGCGTGTGCTTTTGTAGTATTATACACTACATATACATTTTCAAGTTTACCCTCCATAAACATCTAGTGTTGAATAAGTGAAGTCAATGAAGTCACAATTGACTGCTTGAGATGGCGGGGCTTTAAACTGTCAGGCTGATCAGACTGGATGAAGGAGACGAACAAGGTGAGACGTTTAATAGTTTTATTAGTTCTCTGGTCGTATCTCCGTGAAGAAGAAACGATGACTGAGATGAGAAGCCGGTCACGGCGTCTTCCATATATAGCCTTGCTTGGCTGTGACGTGGAGGGAATCCCCGCGAGGAGCACGCTGGGAGCTCCCCACGAGGAGCATGTCGGGAGTTGTGGTCCGAAGGTCAGCCGGGAGATACCTGAGTCCTGACAGGACCCCCCGGTCCAGGGACGGCTCCAGAAGTCCCAGCGCGACCCCGGCGGACCCAGAAGTCAGAGATCAGGGAAGGGTCCAGGATGGACCGAGCCGGCTCCCAGGAGCGTTCCTCGGGGCCATAGTCCTTCCAGTCCACCAGGTACTGCCAGCCCCGACCCCTGCGGCGAGCGTCCAGGATGCGCCGGACGGTGTAGATAGGATCACCGTCGAGGAAGCGGGCAGGAGGTGGCGCCGGAGCCGGAGGCGGGAGAAGGGAGGACTCCACGTAGGGCTTGAGCCGGGAGGTATGGAAGGTGGGATGGATGCGGAGAGTAGCCGGCAGCCGCAACCGGTACGTGACCGGGTTGATGACCCTTTGAATGGGGTATGGGCCGAGGAACCGAGGGGCGAGTTTCTTGGACCCGGCACGGACCCGAAGGTCAGCCGTGGACACCCAGACCTTGTCCCCAGGAGCATAGGAGGGACCAGGACGGTGTCGACGGAGATGCTGGTGAGCATAGCTAGTGTTAGCTCTGGCTATGGAGGCTCGTGCTTTGATCCAGGCGTTCTTGCAGCGTCTCACCATGGCTTCCGCTGCCGGAACGGCGACCTCGGGTTCTTGGTGGGCAAAGACCGGGGGCTGGAAGCCATAGCAGACCTCGAAAGGGGACAGCCGAGTGGCAGATGAGGTGTGAAGATTGTGGGACAGCTCCGCCCAGAGGAGGTATTTAGGCCACTGCGAGGGTTGAGCCGAGACAAAACAACGAAGGTACCGACCCAGCTGTTGGTTAGCCCGCTCCGTCTGGCCATTGGTCTGCGGGTGGTAGCCTGAAGATAGACTGACCGATGCTCCCATCAGCCGACAGAAAGCTTTCCAAAACCGGGCCATGAACTGGGGCCCCCGATCAGAGACCACGTCGACTGGGAACCCGTGCAGGCGCACCACGTTCTCCAGGAACAGTTCCGCTGTGCGTTGGGCTGAGGGGAGACCCGGAAGGGCGATGAAATGGACAGACTTGGAAAAGCGGTCCGTAACCGTCATGACAGTGTTGAGGTTATTGACCGGCGGGAGACCCGTGACGAAGTCCAGCCCCACGTGGGACCAGGGGCGGCTGGGCACCGGAAGAGGTCGGAGGGCACCAGCCGAGGCCTGGTTGGGGTTCTTGGAGCGGGCACAGACATCGCAGGCGCTGGTGTATTCTTTCACATCCCTCGCCATGCCTGGCCACCAGAGGGCTCGCTGGAGGAATTTAAGAGTTCTGGAGAAACCAGCGTGGCCAGACAAGCGTGATGAGTGGGCCCAGGACAACGCCTCGCTGCGACAGGCCGTGGGGACATAGAGGCGACCCGCGGGGGTCTCTGGAGGCGCGGGGTCGTCCCGGAGGGCGTTCTGGATAGCTTCCTCCAACGGCCACCTCAGTTGGCCCAGGAAACGGTGTTCCGGGAGGATTGGCGCTGGCTCGGACGAGGGCGTGGAGTGGGTGAATTGACGGGAGAGAGCGTCCGCCTTCTGGTTCTTGGCTCCCGGGCGGTAGGCGAGATGGAAGTCGTAGGGTTCAAAGAAGAGGGCCCAGCGAGCCTGGCGAGGATTAAGCTGCTTGGCAGATTTAATGTGGGTCAGGTTCTGATGGTCAGTCCAGATCGTGAAAGGCCGAGTGGTGCCCAGAAGCCACTGCCTCCATTCCTCCAATGCCCATTTTATGGCCAGTAACTCACGGTCGCCCACACCGTACTTCTGCTGGGTGGTGGAAAATTTCCTGGAGAAGTAGGCGCAGGGATGGAGCCTGTCGTCGGGCCCGCCTTGAGACAGGATGGCGCCGGCGCCGACGTCAGAGGCGTCGACCTCGACCACAAAGGGAACTGCAGGATCTGGATGGCGGAGGATCGGGGCTGAGGTAAAGCGGGTGACCAGGTGGCGGAAGGCCCGAATGGCGTCTGGAGTTAGACGAAACAGCTGGCCAGGGGAGCCTGGTTGAGTGAGAGAGGTGAGAGGGGCAACGAGGGTGCTATAGTTCTTTATGAAACGGCGGTAAAAGTTGCAGAAACCCAGAAAACTCTGCAGTTGTTTCAGGCTGGTTGGCAAGGGCCAGTCCTTCACCGCCTGGATTTTCTGAGGGTCCATGGTTATGCCTTCATCCGAGATCATGTAGCCCAGGAAGGATATGGACTGCTGATGGAAGGAGCATTTCTCGGGTTTACAGTACAGGTTGTGGTCCAGGAGCCGGGTCAGGACGGCGCGAACATGATGGATGTGTTCGGCCTCGGATTTGGAGTAGATCAGTATATCGTCCAGATAGGCGAACACCCACCGTCCCAGCATGTCGCGGAGGACATCATTAATGAGACGTTGGAAGACAGCAGGGCTATTGCATAGTCCGAAGGGCATAACCAGGTACTCCCAGTGGCCGGTGGGTGTTATGAACGCGGTCTTCCACTCATTCCCGGCCTTTATACGGACCAGATTGTAGGCGCTCCGGAGATCCAGTTTCGTAAAGATCCGTGCCTGGGAGATGGCATCCAGAGCGGTAGTGAGGAGCGGCAGAGGATGGCGGTCCTTGACCGTGATCTTGTTCAGACCCCGATAGTCTATGCAGGGGCGAAGATCGCCTTCCTTTTTCTTCACGAAGAAGAAGCCAGCGGCACCCGGAGAGGAGGAGGGTCGGATGAACCCCTGCTGGAGGGCCTGGGCGATGTATTCTTCCATCGCTTTGGTCTCGGGAGGCGCGAGAGAGAAAAGGCGCCCGCGGGGAGGACTGGTTCCGGGTAGCAGCTTGATCTCCATATCATATGGCCGGTGAGGTGGCAGGGAGGTGGCGCGCCGCTTGTCGAACACCGCGGCCAGGTCCCGATAGGGCAGCGGCAGGTGGGGCGGTGTGGAGCCGGGGCCCCCGTCCGGAAGACCCGCCGAGGATGGAGGAGGAACGAGGTGGGTCTGGCACGAGGTCCCCCAGCCCAGCAGGCGGTTCTGGGACCAGGAAATATGAGGGTCGTGGAGACGGAGCCAGGGGAACCCCAGGATTAGAGGAGAAGAGGGAGCAGAAATGACCAGGAAATGGAGGGTCTCCTGGTGGCCTTGGGTGATCATACGGAGTGACTGGGTTCGGTCTCGGACTGGGTAGGGTTGGAGAGGCCTACCGTCCACCGAGGTCACTGGTATAACTCTCTCCAGGGGTTGTAGGGGGATCCGTAGGCGTTTTGCCAGATCTAGGTCCATGAAATTGTCCGCGGCCCCCGAGTCCACCAATGCGTTTACATGGAGTGAGGCCTCACCATGGAGGAGGGTGACAGGAATAAGGAGACGGTTAGTAGCGACAGGGGTAGAAGAAGACCCAGACTGAGCAACCCCAATACTCAGTGGGGCCCCCCGTTTCCCGATCGTGGCGGGCAGTCCAGGCGTCGGTGGTCGGGAGAGCCACAGTAGGCACAGAGGCCCTCGCGCCACCGTCGTTGTCTCTCCTCGGGGGGAAGATGGCCGAGCTTCATGGGCTCCTCCGCCAGCATGGGTACAGGAGCTGGCGTGGGTGAACGAGGGCGAGGCACCGGCGTCCTGGGTGGACGTGTGGATAACTTGGGTCGAACCAGAACCCGCTGGTCGATGCGCAGCGCCAGATCAACCACCTCATCCAGGGTCTGAGGCAGCTCCCTTCCCGCCAACTCATCACGGATGTAGGGTGCCAGCCCCTCCAGGAAGGCGGCCCGCAGAGCGGAGTCATTCCACTGCAGCTTGGCGGAGATGGTGCGAAACTCCGACGCATAAGCGCACACCGAGCGCTCTCGCTGGCGGAGTTTGAGAAGGCGTGTCTCTGCTCCCACTTCGCTGCTGGGGGGAACAAAGGTCTTCCGGAGAGCGGACACAAACGCAGCATAGTCGTTGCAGGCAGGGGATTTGGAATTGTAAAGCGCAGCAGCCCACTCCGCGGCGCGTCCGGAGAGCAGGGAGGTGAGATGCGCCACTCGGGAGCGCGCAGATGGGTAGCGTCCAGGTTGGCACTCGAACTGCATGTCCAGCGTGGCGAGCAGACCATCGGGGCTCCCCGTCTCTCCGTTCCACCTCTCCGGCAGGCTGAAGTGGGGCTCCTCCCTAGGAGCAGAGCGGGTTGGCTGCTGGAGCGCAGCGATCTGTTGCTGCTGATCGTTTGCCTGTTGTTGGAGAGCCGTGAGAGCCGTGGATAGACGCAGGGTGTGGTCGGACAAGGAGTTCACCTTGGTGTTGAGCTGATCTACTATGGAACGCAGCTGCACGTTCTCGTGGCGGAGACGATCGATCTCCGTCGAATCTATTCTGATCTCAGTCATCCTGTCAGGCTGATCAGACTGGATGAAGGAGACGAACAAGGTGAGACGTTTAATAGTTTTATTAGTTCTCTGGTCGTATCTCCGTGAAGAAGAAACGATGACTGAGATGAGAAGCCGGTCACGGCGTCTTCCATATATAGCCTTGCTTGGCTGTGACGTGGAGGGAATCCCCGCGAGGAGCACGCTGGGAGCTCCCCACGAGGAGCATGTCGGGAGTTGTGGTCCGAAGGTCAGCCGGGAGATACCTGAGTCCTGACATAAACATGTTTAGGAGCCAAACATCAGGGTAGGAGGTGGTTCATCCCAGCATAGGCTTTTGGGTGTCAGACAAAGGTCTAATAAGTAATTATAGAGTAAGCAATCTTTACTTCCGCTGCAGCATCAGTCCCAATAGCTGGAGTCACAGAACTATCCTTCACAATAAGAGTCCTATGCATGTATGTGTACCTCAAAATACTCCCGTAACATCTGATACATTGTTGTAGAACAATGACTTTAATAAAACAAAATATACTTTTGTGTCTTTTTCAGGTTTTATCGGTCATAAACCGAGCACAGATCATTGATGATGCATTCAGCCTGGCAAGGTAACAAAAAATAATCAAAAAGAAAAACATTTCATGCATTTGTTTGCAAAACATGAGATGGTTTATTTCACGCAGAGCAAAACTGATCAATACAACTCTAGCACTGAGAACAACCACATACCTGTCCAGAGAGAGAGACTACATCCCGTGGGAATCAGCCCTTAGAAACTTAGACAACTATGTTCTCGTATTTGATCGCACTGAGGTTTATGGAGCATTGCAGGTCAGTTCTATGAAAAGAAAGTTTGATATGTGCACCATAAATACATGGACATAAACATATTTCTGTGCATCTGTTTCAGGCATACTTGAAGAAACAAATCAAGCCACTATTTGAGCACTTTAGGACACTCACTGCTAACTGGACCAGAGTTCCCACAGGACACTCTGACCAGTAACAATTCCTTCTAAAAAAGATACATTTTCAGTCTCGTGTGTTGTGTGTGTGTTTTAATTCATTTTATTATTTTAGGTATAATCAGATCAATGCTCTCAGAATAGCATGTGATGTTGGTGTGGAGGGCTGCAGGGAGCTGATAAAATCCTGGTACCGACAGTGGATGGAAAATCCAGATCACAACCAGTGAGTGCAGAAAAAAAAAATGTTTGCTGTGTTTTAACATCATTCTCCCAACTGCTTCCAATATTTACAAACTGCAGCGTGTGTGTCTCTTTAGAAGAAAGCTCACTCGATCAGTTACACAAAGTCATGGCTAAAGCATCACTTTTGTTTCTACTGTGTTAATGACTGGTTATATTTTAGACACGTGCTAATTACTCACAAGTCTTGCGTTTGAGGCCATGTCACCTCCAACAATAGAACACATTTAATAGATTTACTTATAGTTAATTAGCAACAACCTGTCCAACTGAAGCTACGTTTGACTAGTCAAGCAGTTGCTGTGATGAATCATTTACTGATGTTCTTAATGCTGACCAGGATCCATCCCAACCTGAAAAGCACAGTTTACTGTAATGCCATAGCCTTCGGTGGGGTGGAGGAGTGGGACTTTGCCTGGAGAATGTTTCAAACAGCCTCTCTGGCATCCGAAGCCTCCAGACTCCGATCAGCTATGGCCTGCACCAAAACACCATGGCTTTTGAACAGGTGTGTATAAAATCCAATGCCTTGCATTCACAACAGAAAAGTGAAGGGTGTTTATGAAGCTGTGTGAAAGTTTTTGTCCTCTTGTGATGTCTTCTGTTTGGCTTTGTCAACAGAAACGCGTGAAACAGGTTGGAATGGGTGGAGAAAGTGTCAGGTGTGATGAAGGGGTTTCAGGTGTAGAAGACAATAGTGAGACCAGCCATACTGTCTGGTTTAGAGAGTGTCCATGAGGAAAAGACAGGAAGCAGAACTGGATGTGGTGGAGCTCAAAACGTTAAGGTTCTCTTTCGGAGTGAAGAGGATGGATAGGATCAGGAATGAGTCCATCAGAGGGACAGCTCATGTTAGATGTTTTGAATATAAAGTTAGAGAGGACAGACTGAGATGGTTTGGACATGTCCAGAAGAGAAACACCAATCAGGTAGAAGGATCCTGAGGTTGGAGCCACCAGGCAGGAGAGGAAGACCAAAAGCAGATTTATGGATGTGGTGAAAGAGGAGATGAAGTTAGTTAGTGTGAGGGCAGAGGATGCAGAAGACAGGACTAAATGGAGACAGATGATTGGCTGTGGAGACGCCTGAGGGGAAAACCCAAAGAGACAGAAAAGGATGTCAACATAAATGATACCTTTCAATACAAGATACTTTTACTTTACTAGATAACCTGCAACTTATTAATAGGACAAAAGGGTTTTTAAACTTCCTGGTTCGGTGTGAAGAGGTAAATCTTGAATTAACTACATTCCATTCCGCCAGCCACATCCAGACTGGATCACTGCAGGCCTGTAAAAGTCAGAAATCCCCTCAACAGAACCTCTCTGATGACATATAATAGGCTAAAACACGTGAAAAATCAACACATCGGGCCTCTTCTGAAGAAAATCAAGAGCAAAGAACCTGGAAAAGTACAGCAGACATTGCTTCCTTAAAGTCAGTATGTAAAGCAGTGGTACTCAATAGAAAAGTTTTCATGTGGCCCTTGGGCACTTGTATCCGAGCACCCTGATGTGAAGTTAAATAATTAAGGGTAGGGGTTGAAACTAGCCTTGATGAGAGTCTTCCAAGTCCAAACCTCTGCAGACCAAAAACAACATGTTCATCCTATTGATGGGAAAATATTCTGCAACAACAAAACAAAACTTTGTGGAAGGTTTGTATCGCGTGCCATCTGGAGTCAGACTAACACTAAAACGACAGCCAGACATGGTGGTGGTAGTGTGATGTTTTGGTTTCAGGACCTGAACCATCTGTTGTAACTGATGGAACCATGAATTCTGCTGTCTAGCAGAACATTTTGAAGAATGTCTGACCTTAAACAGATTGTTCCTGCTGGAAAACCCTCTGATGTGCCTAAATCTTTACGGTTCTATACAAAATAGTGGGGCAGGTTTAGGGGTCAGCTGCTGTAGGGTCAAGGCTTGTTAGTTAGGACTGGACACTGGAGCAGCTCTATACCCTTAGGGGTGTCCTGGAGAGTGCGTGGGAGTTTGCCCAACTTATCTACGTGTTTTGTGGATTTGAAGAAGGCGTTCGACCGCGTCCCTCAGAGGGTCCTCTGGAGGGCACCAGGCCCTCTGATAGGTCCCTGTATGACAGTGACTGTATCACAGTTCTGAACCTCATGGAGACATTCAGTTGTTTAATGTTACAGATTCTAGGCTGTAACCCTAAACATAAAAGGTTTTATTTCTGTGTAAAAAAGTGTCATTGTGCTAAATGTTTCCATTGGGAAACTCCCTGAGATTTGCTTTTGGTTTTCTGATGTTTTACAAACATTTCCTTTGATGAAAACTTTGCAGCCTTTTTGTGGGGGTGGGGGTCTTTATTTTGAAACAGGTATCTGGAGTACACCCTTGACCCAACTAAAATTCGCAAGCAGGACTCCATCTCCACCATCGAGTACATCGCCCGGAACGTTGTAGGAATGCCACTGGCTTGGAACTTTGTCACAGCAAGATGGAGTTACATCTTCGAACAGTAAGGGTGCCCCTCACAGAAAGGCTTCTGATTAAAAAGAATAATCCAGATGTACGCTAAAATGCTGAAAACATGTTGTTTTTGCTCTTGTTTTTTCCACAATTTAAATGGTAAGCGGGATATATTTCTATAAATGAAATGAGTTAGCTAACAGCAACAGGGATCAGTCAGTGAATGAGTCAGTTGGAGCTGAGAATCGGGATTCGTTTATGACTCTCACATCACTGCATGAGATACAATTTTTACTTTTATCATACAGGTTCAAAAACGTACTCATGCAGTAAGTCCTTCTGTTAATTTTTCTTTTGTAAGGTATGGACAAGGATCTTTTTCCTTAACTGATCTCATCAGTGGAATCACAATGAGATTTTCCACAGAGTTTGAGCTGCAGGAGGTACTACAGAACCACACTCAGGACTTTTCAGAGGCTATTCAGAGAAAAATAAGTACAAGTAACATGTTTTTTCTTTCAACAGCTGAAGAGGTTCAAAGAAGACAATCTTCATGTTGGCTTTGGCTCAGCCACCTTGGCCCTGGAGCAAGCCATAGAAAAAACCACAGCCAACATCAAATGGGTGAACGAGAACAAAGCTGAAGTCCTCAAGTGGTTCATTAAAGAAACCACATGAGGAACCCAAAATTTAATGTGACTCTTCGTCTATTCAAAGACAAAGTTGAGTAGTCGTGGAGTTGATGAATCACAATAAACACAACAACTATGACACAATAAAAACAGAGAGTCACTGTACCTTTAATTTTTCCGATATGCTTACCATTATTTGCTGATGATAACTTTAGGAGCTGTGGAGCAGCTGCTTCTTGACACCTCGGTCTGTGTTTCTGCTAAAGATTTCAATATTAGACCATCTTTTACCCTCTGACTGATGGGAAGTGACAACTTTTCATGTGAACTAGATTTGAAAGTGATTCCAATTTAATAGTGTTGCCTGCCTAATGTGTGTTGATTCTCTCTTCCACCAGAGTTAGGTTCAGTACTCTTTACATTAAATATGTTTAACTGGGTCGAATTATTAGAATTCACAGAATAAGTGTATTGTTTGTGCCTGAAGAAAGGTTTAATACTTATTTGTTTCATAGTGTGATCATTATTCTTTTCATTTTAGAAGTATAAGTAGGGATGCACCGATATGAAATTTTGGGCCGATACTGTTATACGATATTAGAAATGTTTTGATGACTGATAACTGATATTTGCGCGCGCACACACACACACACACACACACACACACACACACACACACACACACACACACACACACACACACACACACACATTCTGGTTTTCCCTGTTTAGGGGGACACACACATACTTGTTTTTAGTGGTTGGGGCGACTCAAGCTAAAACACACACTTATTGGGTCAGATTGTTTTACATTATTATTTCATTGTTTAATTACTTGTTATTCACTTGATAAAATCAGTTGGTTGATATTTATTGATTAACGCTTCAGAAGGAGCTGAAGTGATGATATTAGTTAATAAATGTATAGCCGATTAAGATTTTTGTCTCAGATTGAGTTTGTTTGTGTGATATGAATTATTCAACTGCGGGTTGTTAGGATTCACGGAATGTTTAGATGAGACTGATAATAGTTTTGGATTCAATTTATCCCCTGTTAGAAGGGGATGGCGCCCCGAGGATATCCCCGGATATTCTAATTAATTAATAAATCGGTAAATATTTCCATATTTACGAATTTATTGACAAATCCAAAAAATAAGTAAAAGCTTACAAATTATTCGTTGACGTATAACCCCAACAACGGGTTAAAAATAGTCCACAGTCCATCTTCCCTAATGTGTTTGTGGCCCTGCGGATTTTTCGAACTCTAGCTGCACTTCTTATATGTACCTCTCACCGTTCATAAGGGTACTGCACCATCAGCTACGTCAGCCCAGACAAGAGCAGAGAAAATAGAGAAATAATAGAGGATAATTCTATGTGTGGATGTGGATCGAGATTACATTTTACAGCAGCCTGATCATCATGTAAATACATAAACCATCACCTGGCTTCTATAGTCCACGCTATCACCATTATTTTAATTGGTGCGTTTGTGTGTGTGTGTTTTCCAATTCAAATACTGGTCTAGCCAACCAGACCAGTGTGTCCAGTAACATGTTAATTTTACAATTCAACAGTTTCACTTCATGTAGGCTAGGGACATTTCACCTGTCGTGGCCCGACTGCTTCTGCTCCACATAAACTTTGTGCGTTATCAAATGTCTCTATAGGTGCTTTCTGAGCTGAAGAGGCTATTCTGCCTCAGACTGGATACGTCATGCGTCTCCATATTGGAGACAGGAAAAAGCGCTATTCAGCCAAAGTTTCATAATCAGCAAACATTTTTCCAGGGGACACATCCATCAGAGAGACCAGGTTTCCAGACCGCTTCAGTTGGAGGAAATCTTACCGCATCGCTGTGGTTCTACGCTGCGCTGCGAACCCCTCTACAGATCTTCAGCCCACTGTCCACAGTGTGTACTGCGAGCTGCGCTGAGCACAGTGTCCAGTATAAAGCTCTGATGCTCTGATGGGATTCTTTTCTTGATTTATTTAGTTACCTCTGCAATGTGCGTAACAATTAAAATGTCAGCTCATCTGTGTGCGCATCAGTGTGCGTCAGGGTAATTCTTTCAAAACAACCAACATCCTTGAGTTTATCCATCAAAATAAACAGTCAAATGGAAATATCTCTAACCTGCCATTTAACTGTTTTGCCTTCTTGTGAAGATTGTTGCAAAGAGAAACAATTAAACTTAATTAACCCCAGAGCCATGCGCACTACGCTGTACTGACTGTAAATGAGGGGAAAAAAGATTTAATCTGATCCCTTTCTTACCTTTTTCAACATGGTTTAACGTAAAGTTTCATTCAGTACAAACTTTAGTTGCACCAGTCTAATGAGACAGAGCCTGGATTTGTATTCTGAACAGTTTAAACATGTTTAAAATGGAGACATGTGTGATGCATCTAAAGTTAGCACCTGCTCAGCTATTATTGAAATTAAACTAACAAGATGAATAACATTTTAGGCACAGACAACATCCCCTACACTTTTGAAAAGCTTGCAATGCGCCTGCTACCAGTTACAAATTGTGAAGGGGAATGATTTTCACAAATGGCAAGAATAAAAAATGAACTGAGAACAACACAAACTCAACAGCGCCTCAGTGCACTGTCACTGATGGCAATTGAATCTCACCTTGTCAGGAATCTGGACTTTGATGACATTGTAAATTAATTTACTAATAGAAAGTCCAGAAAGCAGTTTTTCTGAAGGTAAGAGAGGAGGCCAACAAGAGGAAACAAAAAGAGGAGGAAAGAGCCAGGAGTCAAGAGGGAGAAGGAGACAGGAGTCAAGAGGAGGAAGGAGACAGGAGACAAGACGAGGAAGGAAACAGGAGACATGATGAGGAAGGAGACAGGAGACAAGAGGAGGAAGGAAACAGGGGACAATAGGAGACAAGAGGAGGAAAGAGACAGGAGACAAGAGGAGGAAGGAAACAGGAGACAAGTGGAGGAAGGAGACAGAAAACAAGAGGATGAAGGAAACATGAGACAAGAGGAGGAAGGAGACAGAAGACAAGAGGAGGAAGGAAACAGAAGACAAGAGGAGGAAGGACACGGGAGACAAGATGAGAAAGGAGACAGGAGACAAGATGAGGAAGGAGACAGGAGGAGGAAGGAAACAGGAGACAAGAGGAGGAAGGAGACAGAAGACAATAGGAGGAAGGAGACAGGAGACAAGAGGAGGAAGGAAACAGGAGACAAGAGGAGGAAGGAAACAAGGGTAGGAAGGAGACAGGAGACAAGAGGAGGAAGTAGACAGGGGACAAGAGGAGGAAGTAGACAGGAGACAAGGGGAGGAAGGAAACAGGAGACACGAGGAGGAAGGAGACAGGAGACAAGAGGAGGAAGGAGCCAGAAGACAAGATGAGGAAGAAAACTGGAGACAAGAGGAGGAAGGAGACTGGAGACAAGATGAGAAAGGAAACAGGAGACAAGAAGATTAAGGAGACAGGAGACAAACAAAAAACATGCAGATATTTAACCTTTGTATCAACATAAGTAAGCAAGTTTTAATATTGACAATGTCATGAAATGTCTAAAAAGTGCTTCTGGGTGGCAGTAATGTTGGGGGAGGCCGGGTGGGGTGGGGTGGGGAGGGGGGAGGGGGAGGGGTAAGCACACTGTGCCCAGGGGCCCCTGCAATGAAAATCCAGCCCTGACAATACCTTTACTTTAGACTCTAGAGAAATCATCGTTATGATAGAAAGCATAAAGCTATAACTGTGTGTGCATGTTTTGCTTCAATTATGTAATTACGTAAATTTTATGTAAACCATGGTTCACCTTTTGCTTATCTAGGTACTTTGGCGAACCTTACAACAAATAAAACAACTCAGACAAGGAATGCAAGAGTCTATGTTCTTGCCACTGCTGGAGGCCAGGCCACATATCTTACCTGTCATATTCCCACGCCAGGAAAAGGCAGATTGCAATGCTCATGTATTAATTTCTTAAAACTCAATAAATATGAGCATTTCCTAATTTCACTTTTTAATCACATGCTATTTTATTTTGTCACATTCAAATGGTTCTGACCCACATACACTGGCCGGATGAAGAAGAGCTGGGGGATGACAGCGAATGTCCTCTCGTTGTGAAACGTTTAATCACAAGCTACGTGCGTAGATTTGTTGAGACAGGTATTTGTTTTTTGTTTTGTTTTGTTTTCCCCATGTCCTGTCTGGCTGTGAAGCAAACAGAAGTGATGTCTGAATGCTGGTGGCAAGCCTTACAGATTTACTCTCGGGTGGAGCATCAAAGCATCTGCTTTTAATGCCACGCCTGATACTTAAAACTTTATTGTTATTGTTTTTGAATGCTTTTTAATTCCAACCAGGCACGGAAACAGAGGTGAAAGAGAAGGGAAGAGACAAAAGATGGGGGGGGGGGGGGGGTGTCCACAAAAATAAACAATAATGAACAAGAATCTGCTTCTAGACCTGCAGAAAGAGAGCAGAAGAAAATACAAAAAAAATGGGACACAACAACAATACAAAAAGATCAAGCTATCACTGCATCAACTTGATGAAGAAATCAACGTTGTTTAACTGAAAAATCACACAATAATAAATCACAGTGCATTAAGTGCCCACCATAGCCTTAAGACCTGTGTTGAAGCGCTTGTTTATGTAAGGTTTCTCTATAGGAGCGTCCAATAGAGAGAGAGTGTGAGGGGCCACAGATCTGCCCCCTAAAGATGTGCAGGAGACGGAGGGAGCTCCAAGTCCCAGAGATCCAGGAGTTGCCCCAGAGCACAGGAACTCCAGGGAGACTGCGACCAGAAAAGACCCCGCTCCCCTCAAGAGGTGCAGAGGATTGCCCTGGGGGCCACAACCAGCAGCCGGCAGAGTCCCGGGAGATATCGGCGGCAAATCCACAGGCCCGCCCGCAGTCTCCCACCCCCTAGCCGGCCGAGCCTGGGACCCAATGACCCGGGACCCAGGGGCGACCAACCCCGCCGGGGACCCAGCAGAGCCCAGGGACCCATACCCCACCAGGTAGCCACCGGGATTGTTCAGGCAGATGCCAAAAATCTTAAACTCCCTGACCCGGGAGCCACGACCCAGGCAGACCAAGGCACCGCACTCCACACCAGGTGTGGCAGGGAGAGGGGAGACGAAGATCTATATCGTCAAAAGAAGTCCCAGGAGAAGGGAGGAGTCAAAGGCCCCACCTGACATATACAGTCATACACAAACACAGTCACAAACTCCCTCCCTCCCTCATGCTCACACATACACATACAACCAAATACTTACAAAAATGCATGCCGGGCATCCACTCATGCTCCCCATACACACCCTATTCACTCTGGTACTGATACTGCTGCACATGGGGTACAACCATCACCGGTTCCAAGAGTTCGACCCTTTCTGCTGGGGTACTGATGAGCAGGCTCCCCCGCCCAACGCTGAGCACAGCAATCCACCACCCCAGACCCCAACTAGACGGCCGGATCTCCCTCCTAGCCTCCAGCCCCAGGAAGCCAAGCGACAACAGAGGTGTGCTAAGACCCCGAGTCTCCCTCCGCCTGCTCCAATATGGTGTTGGTGAGTGTTGATGAGGTGTATTCCATGGCTGTGGTGAGCGGGCAGTGTGGGCATTGTCTGGCCTATGCCAGCTGATGCCATCACACCATCCCACTTGCACCCACAGCCCTCAGTGTCTAAGTGCAGTTTAAAATTGGAAGTGGACACCAGCACTTGGGATGAGGCAGAGAAATCCCCCTGCCAAATGCTGTTGGATGTGCTCACTCCCAAGGCCCTAAGTGTGTGTTTGCGTGGAATGTTGTTGGTGGAAATGTTTAAGGTGCAGATAAAATTGGGGGGCAGGTTGCCACAGGAATGCGGAAATGCGGTCCATAAACGCACTCCCTGACTTGTTCACCCCCCAAGGTCCTATGTGCATGTTTGTGTGATGATGTGAG